TGGGCAGTTGTTATATGAACTCCATGTCAGTTGGTATGTTTTCCTGCCTGTAATTTTGCAAGAGTATGTCTCAGAGATATTTTCAGTTAATCGGAGAAGTTGGTGCCTTGCCCTGCACCTTGCTGGCGTGTGGGTGTAGGGATTCACTGAAGTTGGCGAGCGGTTTGCATGCGAAACTGCTCATCAATGCGCCCCAGGCGCTGTGGGATGTCCCCTGACATTTCCCTGCCGGGGCATTTCAGTATTCTTAACGATGTGGTGGGAGAGATGCAGAAAGGAGGTGTAAAAATGTTTGGAAACCCAAACATGAGGGAAACATGAGATACTCACACTTGTTTCAAACTCTTACTTCCAGGCATACAAGTATTACCTTTTTTTTTTACATATCATCTTCCCATATTCTGTGGTCCCTATTACTAACTGGACTCACCGACCACGAATGGCAACAAGGATTATAAAACCAATCCTGTGTTTCTCAGTTCGTTCTTTCTAGTTCTTCATGCCTCAAAAGCCATCATCTCCATTTTAAGGACCACTTTGACAAGCCTGTTTTTCCTAGCCCCAGTTTCTTAGCCCCAATCTAATGTTAGCTCAAAGGGGAGGGAGCTGTGAAAGTGTCTATCCATATGTATTTTACCTTGTGCTACCTGCCTTTTTCCCAGGTCTAGGGAACCTCCTGATTTTCAACAACTTTGAGAGGTACTGTTTCTCACAGATGCTGTTTACAACACTTGACATGACTATTTTTTGCTAGAGGAATGAACTAGATCTCCCGAAATCTTATGGATGCTCTCGTTGTTTGCGTATCTGATTAAAAACATTCCAGCAGCTACATCTTCGAGTGCTCAGACGTGATTTACTACAGTGATTCATGGTAAGACTTACAGCTCTGAGGAAAATATGTCCCTCAGGATTCATCCACCTTTCCAGAATTTCTCATGGCAGGGCAACCGTATGCCACTGTATTTAGGAAGCAACGTTACTAAATGGCAGCCAGTCTGCATTTTCTTTGGGCATTTCTGAGAGCTCAACAATATCGGTGTGATGAAGAAATGAAATAAAGGACTTGCTGTATGAAGGCAAATGTGTGCATCCAGCCACCTCAGATTAATGAAATGCTAGACATAATCCTCCAGCATACATGCCTGTGAATGGTGGCCACTAAAAATAAATAGTGAGAACTATCGGACCATTTGAAATAGGAAATTATTGAACGATGCTGAAAATCAAGCGGTTACCCAAATGGAGAGGTGCTGAGAATGACAAACTTGGAGAGAGACCATGCCTACGTCAAATACCACATTAAAAAAACATCTCATGCTGGACACAGACACCTGACAGCCACCAAACCACTGAAGACAACACTCATAGTATCAGGTAAAATAAAAGGAAAACTACAAAAAAAGGAGCAAGAAAGACTGCCGCATCAAAACTTTGCAGGATGAAGAGATATTCGAAGGAGATCGGACATTTTACAGCGTCATAACCATAAGAGATGAAAGGTGGTGACGAACCACCACCAAAGCGGTGACAGCTCTTGGAGAAATAGTAGATACTAAAATAATAAAGCTACTTGCAGATTAAGGTATGAGTCACCGTGAGCAAATGTGACCAAATACGGCCCAGTGTCATTTGTTAGCAGCCGTCCGTCCCATGCGTCTCTGCAGAGAACGATTAGAATTCAACACAAACACAGCAACAGAGGCAGAAAGGGAAATATTGGAACCAAGAGTTTTTTAAGAACTGGTAAGAAGGTAATGGGTGTAAAATTAAAATATAGGAAGACACACAACATTATCCATGGAGTGGAAAATTCGTATAAATAGAAGCTCCTTGGCAACCTCCTATATAACAGAACCATTCACTTTGGGAAGTGGATGGGTTTTAGTAGAGCTCATCACCACTAGATCACAGTAGATGTATTCATATATTAGCTCTGCCACCTGACTTTTTCCTAAGTGAAAAAAGGTCAGAGGACGCTTCGTTATGAATTTAATGAAACCAATACTGCAAACTAGGTGCGTTTGAGTTTTATCCAGCCTGCCGACGACGGATGCTTCTGAGACCCATCTCTTCTCGGGCGAGTCTCTCCTCACCTTAGAGCTCCCGAGAAACGCCTCTCATCACACCCAGACAGGCAGCCCCAGCAAACGCAAGTTCTCCAAGTGGAAATGGAAAAATACACGGAGGGATCCTGGCCGGCCCCTTCCCCGGCTCCCACCCAGCGGCGCGGCCGGGCCCGGGGGCGGGG